TGGCGGGCAGTGAGTGGATGCTGAAAGAGACTGAAACAATGCCGGCAGTAATAATGGAGAACAGCAGAGATGGAATCATGCAATCGACAACCGTTGGCGAAATGTCTCTGGTGTGGTCAAATGAGGCTTGACTGCGCCAGCCATGTGTGTCTTGGACCAGGCGTGTGTCAGTATGATGTGGCCAACTAGCCCGGTCGGTATTTGTTGTACGGATACGGATTACTGCCGCGTATAATGCGCCGTTTTTAAGAGACCAGTTCAAGTCGATGCATAAACTATTTTCCGCACGTCAAGGTATATGATTGACTAATTGCGTACTCATAGTTGAAATCACTTTCGCTTGTGCAGTCCATTTGACGTCACACCGAGGGGCTAACACTTGCAAGCAAGCCGTACATATACTCGTAGTGCCCAGCCAATCTCGGCGAACTAATCGAGGGCAGTACACGATGAGAGGCGATTCATGATTCCAACACAACCTCTACTGAGCAGCACTGCCTTCATTAGCCTTGTGACCAATGTCCCACATCCAAGACAAGTGAGACTCAGCTGGGATACCTCTTCGCATTGATTAAGCCGATTCAACCGAGTATGATTCGTCCCAAAGATGAATCAACTGTCTTGCGGCCAAAAGTTCAGCCCAAAGCAACGCGCACGCCGACCAGCGGCGCGGTAGACCGCTTCTATTCCCTGGCAGCTGGACATGGAGCCCCCCGCACTTTCTTCTGCCCATTATCAGAATGACTCTGCAAAATTCGGCATGATAAGCGCAGTATCGTATATCATATCTTCTTCGGCAGATACTGTTCGTGCAGCGTGTGTAAGCCGACGCACAATGACTCGTCACCCTCAAGGAAAGACTTGGACTCAGACACGCCGCAAAAAAGTATATCATATATTCATATATCAAAATATTTCAGGCGGAAACACCTCCTACTGGTGGCAGAGTTTGATGCGAGAGACATTTCTTCAGCTTGCCCTAAGGGTCGGTGACATATTCGTATACCGCCGTGTCTAGGTACGGGTGTAGACAGGGCACGAGGGGAAAGAATTGGAAGGGATATGGCTACCTAGAGAAGGCATGAATGGATAAATTTGTTTCAGTTCCGTGTAAATTATCATATATGACCAGTCTGAAACTCAAGATACTGAACTCGCTCACAACAGCGCTAAGGCAAGGTGATAGGAGTAGGCGCCTTTTGTCTCTTTTGGAAGTTGATGGACAACTTTACACCTTTCGGCAGAGCAACACTGTGCTTGGAAAAGTGTCACGAATGAGACAAAGCATTCAGCTGCTTGAAGGTGATTCCCCCGTTCTCACGTATATAATTGACCCGGGTAGCCCAGTCTCTCTCCACCTTCTTCAACGCTTTCAATATTTAACTGCATACACTCAAATCTACAACAACCCTTGACCTATCAACAATCATGAAGTCTCTCCTCATCTTGACCACACTTTTCGCCGGCAGCCTCGCTGCTGTTGTACCTGGACTTGATGATATCCTCCCACCCATCGGGGTCGACTGTGTGGCTGCAGATCTTGCCATCCAAGCGGGGCTCTTGGCCGTCCGGCCCATGCTGCCCGACACTCCCCGCATGGAAGACGCCCTCAAAGCCGGCACCGCCGCCTTCAAACACGAGATTGGTTGCGGCCCGGCTCCCCCCGAGCCCGAACCCGTGCCGGAGGGCGAGCAGATTGACTGCAGTGCAAACAATGTGGACAAGGCCATCGAAGAGGGCAGAAAGGTGCTCAAGGCCGGATTCAAGGTCACGCCTCCTCGATATGAAGAGGCCGTGGAGGAGGGCATCAGGGTTTTTAGGAAGACGCTCGGCTGCAAGGAGCAGGCGGAGGTCATGGCCAGGGGTATTTAGCCGTCTGTCGAGCCGCGTCAGTGAGAGTCCGAGATTCGCAAGTCGCAACGTGTTCTTGAAAGAAATTGCTTGATTGTGTGTGTTGGGCCAGATAGCTAAAGTATTAATACCAAATTGAAAGTTCGATTACATGTCAAGTTATATGTAGATGAGTCCAATCGTACTTGCACGGCTGTCTGTGATCTCATAGGTAGTGGATTTGAAGGTGGCTATGGCTATTTGTACTATTAACTAAGCTCGTTTGATATGTATAATAGATGCTAAAACATCCTTTTTAAGACTTTTTCAATTCATGTCGTTCTAAAGCGCACGCTGGCGGTTTCTCGCGAGTGGCACTTTTGAGGTATAGGTTCTAAAACTACCCTCTACTATTGATGCAACCCCCCCCCCCCCCCAACTTTATTTATCTTCTGGTGGCGAGACCTGATTCACAACTGACCACACCACTTCCGAAATGGTAGCACCTCCAATGAGTTTCATGACTGGCACATTGACCTGCAGTTCCTTCAAAAACCACTGACGCATCTTGACAGCCACAAGTGAGTCGACTCCCAGGTCAAGCACTGAAGACTCGGGCGGGATGTGATCTCCAGCTGGCAGTCGCAGCAGCTTTTGCACGAGAATCTGGAAAGCATGCAAGATTGCATCAAAACACTCGGCCGGTGGTGCAGATCGCAGCGCGGCTAGGCTCAACCGTCCACTGCTCTCCGAAGCCTCGTCTGACGCGTCATTGGACGCAGGGGCGGAGCGGTCGAGCAGGTAGTGTCCAAACTTGGCGTCGTATGCCCACGGCGGCACGACCTTGTCGTTGGCCACGTCCACGTAGCGCAGACTCGACGACACTTCGGGCCCCTGAGGCGAGGTGCTCGGGCTGGCCAAGACGGCCTCTGCGAAAATGTAGCAATAGTCATTCTCGGATATAATGTCGTAGCCTAGAGCCTTGCTGCGCTCGAGGATATTGTGTCCCGTCCGTGTAATGAATCCGACGCCGCTGACGCCGGTGAGATTGATGACGGAAGCTGCCAGTCCACGTCGGCGGCGATGATGAGCCAGGCCCACCATGAAGCTGTTGGCCACGGCATAGGCAATCTGTCCCGTGTTTCCGGCGATGCTGACGAGCGAGGAGTAGAGGATGAAGAAGTCTAGGCTGTCTTGAGCAAAGAGCTCATCGAGATATCGGCTGCCGTCCACCTTGGGCCCAAGGGCTCTCATCATCTGTTCAAATGAAAGATCCATAAAGAGGCTATCTTCCATGACCAAGGCGCCATTTGCTACTCCCGCAATTGGGGGCATGGTTTCATTAATGGTTGCAATTGTCTTTTCAATAGCACTCTTGTCCGTTACGTCGAGCGCAAATGTGTTGACAACGGCGCCGAACTTTGTCTTCTTTGCCGCAATCCACGCCGAATCAACCTGTGGATTGCGACTGGACAATGCAAAATACCTCGCTCCTCGTGAAATCATGTAGGAGACTGTAGACAGACCCAAACTGCCTGCCATCCCGACGAGGAAATATGTCCTGTCCGGACGGAAGTGGCATTCCTCTAGCGCGGGAAGTATAGTGGCGCGTACAGGGAGATTGCTGGTCCAAGCAATCGTCTTTGCTGGGACACCAAACGCAAATTCTTGCGGCAGATCCTGAACCTGGATTGTGCTGTCAGTCAGGTTGTTGGTCTCTTCTGCTACCAAAGAAGCAGCTTTGTCGACGGCGGCCTGTAGAATCTGGAACGTGCGGTCGTCGTCAACTTTGCCAAATTTGTAACTCTGAGCTCGGAAAAAGTCTTTAGCGGTCAGAAGTGCTATGCCGGAGGGGATCTCAAGTTCCATAAAGGCGAGTCCGTTGCTGGAACCAGTCTCAGTACAGTCTACGCACAGCAGCGTATCTGGCTGCACAATCTCGTTGAGCTGACGAGTCGAGCCATGGCGAGCAATATGCTTCCACTCCTGATCCAAGCGGTTCTCGCATCGGGACGCGTCACTGCTTGTAAAGATGAGTCGCACTTCTGCTTTTCTCGCCTCGTCAGCAAGTATCTGCGCCAGCATGTCTGGTGCTTCGTGAACGACCACGCTCGTGAATGGGGGGCAGCGCTGAATGATTGTAGAGGCGCGGAAGACATCACGTAGCTTCTCGGGGAGCAATCTCTCTTGCTGCTCCGAAAGCCCGGAAATAGGCACCAATGACGCTTTATGAGCCGAAACTCGAGACCTGTTTTCAGTACTCAATGCGGCAACGATGCGGCCAGTCTGGACGTCCACTCCAGTCACCGGATACAAGTATCCTAGTGTCGGAATATGTACGCATACAGATAGAGAGTAGTCAACAGCAACCTCAGTCGTGAGTTCCTTCTTTGTCGACTGCAACGAAGATGGAGCCGTGACACGCAATTTCTCGAGTGAAAGCGACGACTCGGCCGCAGACAGTTGAAGAAGCCCCGTCTTTGAAGTCAGGTCAACTTGCACGTGACGCCGAAGAGAGTTGTAACCCGAGTCCAAGTCCTTGTTGGGCAGGTAGCGCGAGATGAGCGGTTGTCCCTTTCGTAGATGCAGCTCCGGCTCGTGGGACCAGAGCAAGTGGTCGGGCTTCTTGATGGAGTGAAGACGATGCAGTCCTACCACGGCTTCAGCTATGAATGGAAAGGCGCCGGGAACGTCGCCTTCAATGTCCAATATCTGAGTGACAAGGTGAGAACATTCCTCGATGAGACAACGAAGGGTTCCCTTGATCATGTTGGCATAAGGATTGCCTCCTTGCGTACCAGAAACCACCCAAATGAGTCGATTGGAGTGGGTGGTTAGCTCCTGCAGCTTGACAAACGTCTTTTCGGTCAAGGAGCGAAAAAAGTCGTAGTCGAGCTCGGTCAGACTGAGAACAAATGGCTTGTCTGTCAGATCGGACGTATCCAAATGAGCAAGACTCTTGACTGTGCTGATTTCGTCGCAAAAGGGTGCCAGTAGACCCTGCAATTGGCTGATCAAATCGCTTGTGACAGCACTGTCACCGCCAATGATGAGCAACTTGGCTATCTTGGAGCCAGATGATAGCATCGGCTGCCGAAGCGCATTGACGGCATCATCGGTTGCCATGGTAGCCATGATGGAGGATGAGCCAACCATTGTACGGCTCTGAGCGTCGATGCCTGCAAACCCGGCCTCGACAAGTCTGCTGTGCCATGTCTCCAAGGTTTCCGTGGGACCGGTCGAGGCTTGGGCATTCTGTTGATCAACGAAGAGTAGATAGCCTCCAGGTCGGATCAGGTGTCGCACATTTTTCAGCGTCTCCTTCTCTAGCGAATGGCCGCCGCGCAATATCACCACATCGTACTCTTGGCCAGTATTCTTCTCCACGAAATCAGAGTTTTCTAGCTGCAGTGAAACTCGTCTTAGAGAAGAAGCATCCTCTCGTGAGTCAGATAATTCTGTAAAGACTGCTTCGTCGATACCATCCAGCACGTACAGCGACGGCCTGCCACCGGCCGCTTTGAATGCATCGAGAATTTCGGTTGCATTGCCAGACGTTCTTTCCAGTATACGGGCCTTTGGGTATCGATCCGTGATCTGTTTGAGAAGACTGGCCAGAATTTGATTTGCGAAAGAAGTAGTAGAAGCATTCTTGTCCACCGTCTGCCCGTTGAGCTGAGAATCACCCTGCAGCGCAGCGGTCCCATTCACAGGCGATGCGGTCAATGTATCCAAATTTACCTCCTCAGACAGCTTGGGAAGCAGTGCAGTGTTTGGATTTGCAGAGCAAAGTACCATGTCGGCAAACATTTGCTTGTCATCTTGCGCGGTGAGCGGCGAAACAGGCGAAACAGTCAAACCTTGGACGCGAAATGTTGCGAGACCGGTGCCGGCATTTCCAACTTCAATATCACCACAGATTGTCCTCCTGTCCAGCACATATGATGAGGCTTTAAAGGTCAGATCATTTGTAGATGTAGACTCGGAGAGAGCTGACGAGTTTATCGTGAGTCGCTTAATCGTGGTGGGAACTTGCAGTGTCTGGAGGCCTCCGTCGCCGGGATAGCTGAGAGCGGCAAAGAGGGCCTGAAAGGAAACGTCGAGCACTGCTGGGTGAACTGGCAGCCAGCTCTCTGATGCAGATGGCTGGATCGAGCTCCCTACCGCAATGGTGCCAGTGGCCAGATTGGTGGTCCTCTTGAGGGAAGCGATGCCGCGAAACGCGTCGCTGTAGTTGTAGCCAATGGCGCGCAGGTTGTCATAGAAGCTCTCGACATCAATTTCGTCTAGTTTGCCGTGGTATTGAGGCAGTGCTGGAAGCATCTGTGACACGTGGTCACCGATGAATAGCTTAATCTTGCCGCTGGCAATGCTGGTGAGACGATTGGACGACTTGGTAATGGCAGCATCGCAGTAGTAGTTGGCCGAGAGAATCGACCCTTGGTCCGGGGACGATGTGATTTTCACATCAGAGAGATAGAACAAAGTTTCAACCGCTCTCTCGTCGTCCAAGGCCAAACCACGATGTATCACCGAGTCGTGTAATTCGGTGAGCCGTCCCTGGAAACCCATGGAAGCTGCAGCTATGGTAGCCGCCTCGGACGCCATGACGAGGAACATGGCCGCGGGAACCACCATCTGGCCTTGGATATTGTGACCTGTGAGCCATGGAAGCTCTTCGCTTGACAAATAGTTCTCCCAGCGATACTCGTTGTCACCACAAGTATCGGCCCGGACGCCAAGAAGGGCATGGCCGGGTGTCTCTCTGAATCGATGTGCACGAGACCTGCGGGATTCGAACTCGTAGGAATGATCATGATCCCAGGGGTATGATGGAAGATCTCGAAGAGTAATCAGATTGCTTTGAGAAAACTGGGCTGCGTACCGGTTCAGGTCCAGACTAGTCTGGGCAGAGACTGACCACAACCATCCCAGAAAAGACGCCAGCATATCGACGTCATCCGCTGAGCGACTCAAGGTACCAGAGTAGGCTACCTTGTTCTGACCTAGGCTTTTGAGAGTCTCCAGTACTGGAGATTTGAGTGCAGCGTGTGGACCAATCTCGGCCCAAGCGGCGGGTGTATCCTGCGGCCATGCGCGAGAGGCGGCTGAGACGGCTTCGGAGAATAAGACGGGTTGAACCATGTTCTTGATCCAATACTCGCACTTTAACTCGTCTGAAGCAACCACTTGACTGCCGCCGTATACGGACGAAAACCATGGGCAAGGTCTAGTCGGGCTGAGAATGTTGATATTGCAAGCGGCCAGCGCTTCGCGGTACAGACTGACACACGGCTTCATGTGGTGCGAGTGGTAGGCTGTTTGCACCCGGAGGATGCGGTTAAACTTTTCTTCGTCGTCCAAAACAACGGCCACTTGATCAATGACATCCCCGTCTCCGGAAAGCGTGACGCTCGTCGGTGAGTTGTAGGCCGCCACAGAGATGCGATCCAGCACCGCCTCGTTCTCGCACAGATCCTTTGCATCTGGGTGCGTCATGGCAGCCGCAATCATGCCGCCCTTCTCGCCTTGGCGACCTTGGGCCAGGTGAGCACATAGACCTCGCGTATAGGCAATCTTGACGGCGTCGTCGGAACTGATGAAACCTGCCGCGTATGCGGCTGCAATCTCGCCGCTAGAGTGCCCGACTACTCCGTCAAAATCGATGCCGGCACTACGAATCAAGTCGACGACAATGACTTGTACAACAGTGCATAGCGGCTGCGAGACGATGCTTTCCTCGATGCGAGACTCGCTCTTGTCCGCCAATAGTTGGTCCTTGAGGGACCACTTTGGTCGATAGGAATCTGGCAAAGCAGCAAGGACAGAGTCTAGGCGGTCGACTGTTGCCTCTGCCTGCTTTGAACTCCGTATAAGCTGGCGGCCCATGGTGGCCCATTGCGCGCCTTGGCCGGTAAAGACGGCCATGAGGGGCTTTTGCTGAGAGGTGACGCGAGTAATGGGGCTTTTTGCGTCGCCGCTCGGCTGGCTTAGTATAGTCTCCAATGTTGCCGTCACTGCTTCTGGCGATGGCGCAGGAACAGCCAACCTGATGTTGAGGGCGCTTTTGCTCTTGAACAGTGTCCAAGCCAAGCTTGCCAGGTCAACATCGGGATTCTGACGAATATGAGCGATATAATGCTGTACAAGCTTGCGCAGGGTCTTTTCAGACGACGCTGATAGCAAAAGTGGAAGAACGTTGGGTGAGGTACTGGCAATTGATGAAATACTGGGAATGGACGAGGTACTCGAGGCCAGAGAAATGACGGAAGAGGCTGAAGCACTGGAACTCTGCAAAGAATCGAATTGTGCTTCATCATGGCTGCTGGGTGAATAGCTTTCGATGATGACATGCGAGTTTGCTCCTCCAAAGCCAAAGCTGTTGACACTGGCTCGGCGTACGCCGCCATTCAGGCTCGGCCAAGGAACTGCCTCGGTAGGGATTTGCAAATTACCGTAGTATGGTTCAATAGCCGGGTTGAGTGTTTGGAAATGAAGATTGGGGGGTATCGTTCGGTTCTGAATCGCCAGAGACGCGCGCATGACGCCTGCCACACCCGCAGTTCCTTCCGTGTGGCCTATTATAGTCTTGATGGAGCCAACATAGAGCGGTTGGAGCTTCTCGTCGCCATCTCTATCGGGGAAGAATGCGTCGTGGATGGCCTTTGATTCGACGGCGTCGCCAGCCTTTGTGCCAGTGCCGTGCGCCTCAAAATACTGGCACCGGTCCTCTTCCTTGCTGATGTCGAGCCCCGCGCGCGCATACACGTCTCTGATGAGTTTGGTCTGCGCTTGGGGATTAGGCATAGTGATGCCCGGCGTGTGACCGTCCTGGTTGACGCCTGTTTCGCGGATGATGGATTCAATGTGGTCACCGTCAGCGAGCGCATCACGCAACGTCTTGAGCACAACGACTCCGATGCCCTCGCCGCGAGCGTAGCCGTTTGCGCGTGCGTCCCACATGTGGCATTTTCCTTGCGGCGAGAGCATGTCCAAGTTTGTCTCGGAGATGAAGGGATCAGCTGACAGGATCAAGTTTGTTCCGCCAGCCACGGCGACCCGTGAGCTCCCGGCACGCAGCTCCTGCACGGCGAGGTGGATGGCGACAAGACTCGACGAGCACGCCGTGTCTATCGTCATGGATGCGCCGTGCCAGTCAAACGCGTGAGAAAGCCTGTTGGACAAGACGGCTCTGGATGTTCCCGTGGCCGAGTACGTGGGCGTGCACTCGCTGTCAAAGAAGACCATGGTGGTGTAGTCTGTGCTCATGACACCAATAAAGGCGCTTGTGTCGGAGCCGCGCAGCGTTTCAATGGGGATTCCGGCCGTTTCTAAACCTTCATAGGTAGTCTCCAGCAACAGACGATGTTGTGGATCCATAGATTCGGCTTCTCCTGGCTGAATATTGAAGAATTGGGGGTCGAATTGCATGGGATCGCCTTCCAGCATGTAGGCCGCAACCACATTGGTTGCTCCATGGTGATGGCCATTCTCGTGGTAGAATCCCTTGGCATTGAAGCGTTCAATGTCTTGTGACAGATCACGGGGAGACCTCAACAAGTCCCAGAGCTTGGAAGGAGAGGTTGCATCTCCAGGGAACCGACACGCACTGCCGACAATGGCGATTGGCTCCATGCTCTCTGTTCAAGGCCCGTCTTGAAGAGAGTTTACGCCAAGTAATAAAGATGAATAATGGGAAGAGAATATTTCACGCCAAGTAAGTATGATTCGAGGGCCAAGTGTGAAAAGAATTAGAGAGTAAAAAGAATTAGGGGAGTATGTTGTGTATTGCCTTGTCTGGAAAAGAATGAGATCGCTTGGCGGGTTAAGTATAGAGTTGGTTGCTTGTAAACGGTTCTTGTTGTCAGAGTTACATCTCCCACACCACATCCTGTTAGGTTACAAAGAGTACCCAACTTATGACGCCTCTCACTAGCAGGTGGTAAGTGGGAATCAACTATCGATGCTACCTGAAACAAACTGTATACTTGATGTCAGTCAACACCGTTGATGGGGACACACCTCCAGCGGGCAGTGAAGCAGGGGGCCATGCATTTCATCAGCGTTACGCCGTCACCCGCCATGTCAGTGCGACGGTGGATGCGATGCGGCTTGTCAGCTTATAGTTCCGAAACTAAGACATTGGGCCCATCTATTCCTGCAGCGTCTTTTTGTCACAAACACGAATTGTCTCGGTGGAGATTCATCGTAAGGCTGTAATGTGAACAGTGCACGCGTGGTACCGAGTCTTTTGCCGTTGGCACTCGACGGTAGGCGAATCTCGGGAAGACCTGGATGCTTGAGTCTCTCATTACAAGGTAGCTCAGCTGTCGTCGCCCCGTTATTACGGTGCGGGCTCACCCAAAGCATGTAAAGCCAAAAAAATGAGAATTATCACGAGCGACTAATACGCAGCTTGCAGCTTGTAGCATCGAGATTTTCTATGCTTACTGATACCAATTCGTCCCAAGACGAATGAGAATCAGTCTTTTCAAGCACCTATATATTAAAATAATTCTGGCTCTAAATTAGTAGTAACAAGCGGCCAGTACAGAGCATGCCAAGCCAGTCGTACATGTACATGACCACATCACTCAAGCGGATAGACCAACTTGAACCCTCGAACCTGGCCTTGTCTAATGGCGTCAATTCCACTTGGAATTGCCTCGAGCCCCCCCTCCATGATGCGTATTGGATGCGGTTTGAGATTGTCTACAGCTTCAGCCAATACGCTTTCTGCCAACTCTGCCAACTCTATTCCCCATTTCAGTAGAGCTGCGTCTGGTTCGCAGTAGAATGGTTTCGGCCACACACAGCCTCGTCCCATGAGCGTAATCGTCAAGACCCAGTCCGACTTGACTGCCTTGCGCCTGATCAGCGAAGCATCAAACGGATCTAATGCCGTGTAGCGGCCGCCAAGTCTCCCCATGGCCTCTCCACAGGCCATGACGCTGGAAGGCGTCGTGACACAGTCAAACGCAAAACTGAGCGCGTTATTGGTAAGTTTGCGAATGTCCTCAACATGAGTCTCGGAATGATAGTCAAATGCAGCTTCCGCACCGTACTCCTTGGCCAGGTCGAAATGCTTAGCCGAGCACACGGCAATAGGCTTGTGCCCAGCGCGGCGAAGAAACTGCAGTGCCATGGTGCCCGTCGCTGTTGCGCCGCCGTAAATCAAGACCCAGCGAGACTGTTCCGCCTTCTTGGTCAGCGAGCCAGGCAGTTGAAGCGAGTGAAATAGGGCAAAGCCGGCAGAGAAGATGGCATTTCCCATGGCGGCGGCCTCGGCAAAGGGCATTTGGCTGGGCATCTTGATGAGGATCGCCCCGCGACAGGCTGTGAACTGGCTAAAGGCACCTACACGGGGCCTGCGCCGGTCAGAGCCGTCAGTGCAGCCAAAGACGCGGTCTCCGGGCTGCAGCTGCCGCCAGGCGGGCTGATCCGGCCCGACAGCAACGACTGTGCCGGCAAAGTCGAGGCCAAGCACGCAGCCGGGCTCGAGAAAGCCGTGCAGCATCTTGGAGTCGACTGGGTTGAGAGCGACAGCCTCGACCTTGATCAAGACTGCGTCAGGCTCCAGCTCGGGAAGCTCTGAATTGGCCGTCACCTCGACGCTGCCATCTTGGGCGCCAATAACCACGGCGCGCTGTGTGCTAGGCGGCGTGCTCATCTCTGGAGTCTTGATGGGCTAGATGTATGGAGAGTTGGATGATTATTTTTTTTTTTTGTGGAAAGAGGAAAAAGAAAGAGAGAAAAAAGAAAGCGCGGAATATTGAGAGAATGAGTAGCTTACACGATAGTTTCTTGCAATGCTTTTCGTTGGGAAAGTGTGCCTTGATGCCAGTCTACCAGTCTATCAGGGCGGCACGGGGATCCAAGACAGATAAGTGGCCAGGTCAAGCCAAACTGACGACTTGAAACTCTGAGAGATGCGCAAAACTCTAGGTGCTGTCCTTTAGATTTACTTTCTCCTTGTTTTGGTAACACTGCATCTCTGAGCTGTTATTCGAGGTTGTGTCATCTTGAACAGGAAAGGCTCCAGGCCGTGCACAAGCTGCACGAGCTTCAGTTTGCGTCGAGTAATTGTCTGAACTAGCAAAGGCCCACACACAGTTGAATGGCTAATTATAGCAGCTATTATTTTATTCCTGCTTTTCCATCATTGTTATCTCATGAGTACATACATACGCCGTACCGTGGCGTCTTTTTCCTAGTCCCGGCCGAGCACTTGCGAGCAGTCAGCCAAACCAAACAAAACAGGAAACTGGAAAAGTCTTCATCGAGCGGCATTGTAAAGAGTACTGACTGACTCGCTATAAGTTGGCTCTCAAACATCTGGTGGGTTACAGCGATTATGGAAATACAGCTGCTAGTCAATTGAAGCTGTGACTTGACCAGATAGCTAACTAGAATCCGATGCATTGTTAATGGGAAATCTGCAGAATGCGTACCAGTAAAGCTGCACAGGTGTGGTGTCAGAATAGATACATGACTAATGTTTATGCATCATGACATCATAAAAAAAAAAAAAAAAAAAAAAAAACGGCGTTTGTTACATGCAAATGTGCATAAACGTGTGTTGCCTTCACCGTTCATTCCGACGTTACAGGTCAGGTCGGTCAATCAGGTCTAGAAAGCCTAAACTACCCGACACCATGGAGACTCCGTCGCATCCACATGTTCAGCAGTAATTCCAAACAGTTTCCATTTTGTCTTTTTTAATTTATTTTTATTTTTATTTTTAATTTATTTTATTTTTTTATTTTTTTATTTTTTAACTTTTTTTTTTCTTTTTCCATTTGCTTGAATTTCTGCGCCCTCGTCGTTTCCCAGTAGTGATTACAATTCTTGCCCGCTCTTACTTGCGCCATCCAAGCATCACTTACAAGGCTGAGCGCTATTCGTTCGACCTTGATAAAAAGGGCTCCCAGGTGATCATTCTGCATTCTTACTGAAAACTCCATCAGAAACACTGGACACATCCCAGTGCAACATCATGGCTCTCCACGCTGCCTACCTATTTATTGCAGCGACGCTGGTGGCCGTCTATCTGACTCGCTCCATTCAGCGACGCAATGCCCGGGACAGGCTCGCTCGTCAGCACGGCTGTGAACCGCTCACCCTGGCCTATAACAAGCTACCCTTTGGACTCGATCGCAAATGGCAAATCGTGACGCACAGGGGCAACATCCTCGACGACCTCATCACCACTCGCTTCGCCGAGCTCGGCTCCTACATATACACGGACAACCAATGGGGCAGCCCACCCATCATTTGCGCCGAGCCGGCGGCCATCAAGGCAGTCTTGAGCACCAAGTTTCGAGACTGGGACATGGACAGCAATCGCTACCCGGCGCTTGGCCCGTGGCTGGGCCGCGGTGTTCTTGTCAGCAGCCATCAGGGCAAGGGCAGCCTTTGGCTGACGGCGAGGACACTTCTGCGTCCCATGTTTGCCAGCGTGGCCACGTACAATCACGCACTCATGGAAAAGAGCGTGCAAGATTTTCTGTCCACCATGAGCCGGGTCAATGAGGATTCCGCCACACGGAGCGACCTGCTGCCGCTCATTCGTCGCCTCAACATTGACATCATTACCGCCATCTTTTGCGGTGGCAGCATTGGCGCGCAGAAAAAGGGGCTCGAAGCTGGGCCTCGAGCTGCTGCTGCTGCTGCTGCTGCTAGCCCGGGAAAGAAGCCGACCCTGGAGGAGGCATTTGATGCCATTGAGCCAATCGCCGGCCTGAGGCTGCAGACGGGGAGCCTGTACTGGCTGTTTACCTCGAAGCCGTTCAGAGACGCCTGCGATACGTTTTCAGAGCTTGCCAATGGATGGATCAATCAGGCACTGCGCAAGACGCACGAGAAATCGTCCCCGCAGGGAGGAGGGCTGGACGGTGTCGCCGAGGCAGCGCAGAGCTTCACGGAAGAACTCGTATCCAGCACCGAGGATCGCGAGCTGTTGCGAGACATTCTCGTGCAGCTGCTATTCGCCGGCATCGACACGTCGACAAGCATGCTGTCTTTTGCCCTTTTGGAGCTAGGCCGGCATCCTGGCAGCTGGACCAGACTACGGGCTGAGCTCGCCGAGCACAGCTTGTTATCGGCCGGTCCCGAGACCATTACAGCCGGCCAGCTGAAGGATTGCGTATTTCTCCAAAATGTCGTCAAGGAGACCCTGCGGCTGTACCCGCCCGTGCCCATCAACTCGCGCGAAGCGATCCGTGACACGGTACTGCCAACGGGTGGCGGTGCAGACGGCAGCAAGCCCGTGTTTGTGCCGAAAGGAACGTCGCTAAAATATAGCCCCTACGTCATGCACCGCCGGAGCGATCTCTATGGTCCGGATGCAATGGAGTGGAAACCGGATCGCTGGTTGGGCCGTTCGCATGGCTGGGACTATCTTCCTTTCAATGGGGGGCCGCGCATCTGCATAGGTCGTAAGTATCAGTCTTCTCAGCTTGTTTTGATTGGTCAAAAAAGACAGACTGGCCTAAAAACTAATCCCTGATGATAGAAAAGTTTGCTCTCACCGCAGGTGCCTACGTTTTGACCCGGCTTGCGCAACAATTCGACACTTGTGAAGCAGCATCTAGCAACAAGGGTCCTCTCGAATCCAAGCTGGGTGCGGTTCTCATCCCTGCAGCCGGTGTTCCTGTTTCTCTTGGCAATTCTTCATAGGTCGATCGTAATAAGCCGCTTTGCTTGCGCTAATAAGCGAATTGAACTAACTAGTTTGACAACGAACTTGTGCCGGGCCGGGATGAAGCTTGTTGGCTTGTTGGCTTGTATGGGATTACGCCATACCCCCATTTACTGACATGTTGTCTGTGTAATATTTTCTTTGACGAAAACCTAAAACGAGGTAGCTCTAATTTCATGTGTATGTGCTTGTTAAAATTGCATTACCAGTAGCTTCAAAATGGCATCCGAGCAAAGTACCGCGTACAACAATGTGTTGCATCTACTATTTAAAACTGATTAGCTTGAAATGGCAATCTGCAGAAATACGGAGTCGCTTGAAATAGAAAACACTAGCCTTGAAACAGAAGAAACTAGTTGGTGGCTAGCTCACGATGATACACTACCAACCAACCAACTTCTCTCTAGCTTGCATTGTAATGTAACAAGTCTGCTTGGAGACAAGACAGCTTGTTAGCGGAACCGACAGCCTTGGACACGCTCCACAGGCACGCTCCACAGGAACAAGGTAAAGAAGGCGCTACTCCGGCACGGGTTGGCCAGCCGCACCTGAATCTGCATAAATCTTCAACGGCGCGTTGTCTTGCTACCTGACACTAGTGTCCCCGTACGTACCCGAGTCAAGGCGTACCAACGACCCTTTGTAGCCTTCAGCGGAGCCTGTTCATGACATCATTACCCATACGGAGTAATACTGGTAACAGGAATCCAGATGTGTACTTGAATCTACTATTAGCTTACGAAAGTCTCGACCCAAGTCGTTTACAAGGAAGCAATGGTAAGCTAGCACGGCTCCCGGATACCGCATAAACTGTATAAATGAGAGTAAGACACCGACAATGGCGGTCTTGTGGCCCCAAAACTTGATTTACTCGGTTTTTGTTTTCCATTTCCGCTTTTCTATACACAGTACAGCATTCCATCTACAGTTTAGCAGACATGGCTGCGCCGCAAAGCGCTACGTTGCACAATTTAAACGGTCGATGGCGTATGGTGCGTTTTTTCCATGACCACAAAGCTCTTGTCCAGCTTACGCACAGGGTGGTGATGAAGAGTCTTTTGCTTTACTGACTTTTATGAGCCAGAACGCCTCTTTGTCTGATCCCTATGATGAAATGCTCAAAGCCCAAAACGTCGGCTGGCTGTGGCGCAAGGTTCTCGTAAAATCCGGCGCAGAGCTCTGGATCACGCACACCACGGACAACGGCGTCGATCACCTTGTAATCCACGGAAAGTCGACCAACGGGCTCCCCGACAGCACCGAAGACCGCATCGTCAACGGGACCTGGAAGGAGCTCAACTTTCCCATCTTTGGCAAGATTCGCGGCAGCACTCGCTGGGTCAAGAAGGGCGACCTGTCGTCGGCGTGGCTGGCCGAGGACATGCTGCTGGACGAGGCCGGCGTCATTCTCATGGAGACGATCCAGATTGAGACTGACACGGTGACGAAACAGGCCAACGGGTTCAAAATGGTCAAGGGAGAGAGACGGTACGTTCGCCACGTCGAAGTGACCAAAAAGGGCAGCAACAAGCCCATACACGTCACGCTGGTGTATGATTATTTGGGTCCTTTGGAGAAGTCGCCCTAGACACTGTAATTTAACTACTATTGACTAAATAATAATAAAACGCCGCCTTGTTTAGAGACTGTAAGAGCCCGCAAGTCTTTCTCCACAGGCTTCAATGTAGTTAGGACAGTATCGTTTGGACTGTGGTGGCTGCATCGCGAGCGGAGGGGCCATGATGGAGTTGCGCTCACTTTCAATAGCGTCTTACAACGGGCGCAGATACACGGAGACCATGTTTGGGTAGTTTCGGGAGCTCCGCACCGTGCCGGCCATTTTTAAGTTTGATATAGTTAGTACGCAACTTGCTCAGTAATGGGTTGTTGAGGCAACACAACCGTACATACGTACCACTAGAGGTGTCAGCGTCAGGTCAAGGCTCCTTGGTCCACCTGAGGTCGTAGCGAAAAGAAGGGCATCAGAATCGACCCTGGACAGCGTCAAAGCACGGAATGAAGTCATCCCGTTAGTCTAGTGCATCGGCCGCACATCCGTGCGCTTGCATGGCGCCCTTTGCATCCGCTGACTAGCCGAATCCCATCTAGGAAGTGCGTCTTCTACCAGTACTTGCTTACTTGCTGGACAGTCCCCAGGGACTACGCAAAGGTGCCCGCCTGGTGTGTGTTATGGTATGCCAATACTGCTCTATACCTTTATGCTGTATTTCGGCCAGAGACTTGCCAAACCTTGGATGTGTTGAATATTGCTGTTAGCTGTATTAACCACATACATTATTACACTGGGCACTCAACGTTGGCGTAGTCAATTTTCATCTGCGTCGTGACGTACGCGCAACCACTCACTCGCCTTTTCTTTTCAGAGAAAAAAAAGAAAGAAAAAAAAAACACTTGAACACGGACAAGCAACAGCCATGATCCATCATGCTCAATCAGACTTGCCATTGACTCAGGTGCCCTGCTTTGGCACAGAGATACAGGGCAACACAACGACAAGCACCTACCACGAGCTAAAGACCTCTGTTGAGAGCCTTCCCGAAAATGACGAAGACATTCTCAAAGGCTTTGGCCGATACATTGCGCAAATTGCCGAGACTGCGCAGCCTTCATTCTGTGCGCAGCTGTCTGCCGGCGAGTGCACGGTAGGTGTTGACATGTCGCCCACGGGTTCCATGGAGACGAAACGCAGCTCATGGCGTGTGAGCAAGCAAGAAATGGTCCGTTTGCACTACGACAACTTTTGTATCTTAATATCAAAAGCTGCAGCAACTCCTGGCGTCCCAAATCTCAGCGGCGCGCTGCAGCTGATCGTCACACGGGATGACGACTCATCCACGGCCAGCCTGAGCATACGGCTGAGGGCTAGCCACGGTCCGCTCGACGCTGCCACTCATCTGCTCAAGCTGGCAGCATGCACTCTAGTTTCGGAAACCTACCAGCCGACGTTGATGAGCCGCTTCAACGTTGGGATTGGGCTAGAGTCGTTGGAGGAAACAGGCCTCAATCAGTCCATCAGTGGCTCGCTCGCCAGCGGTACCGGCGCTGACAATGCGGCACTTGTGCACACCGCGTTTGAGAATCAAGTCCTGAGTCGCCCAGATAACATTCTCATTGAGTATCTTAGTCGGGACGATGAATTTTCCCTCGACAGCATTCAGAGTCTTACATACAAAGATGTACACACCCGAGCCACGGCGCTGGCCCGAGAGCTCGTGGAAATTGAACGCTACGCCGACTGGAAGCCCATGACCGGACAGCAGCGCGCAGTGCCGATACTTTTGCCAACATGTCCTGAGATCATCATTGCCATCATGGGCATATTAAAGGCTGGATACGCCGCTTGTCCCATGGCCGTCGATCGGCCAGCCGCGAGCTTACAAGAGATCCTCGGCGATCTCAATGCTGTGCCCGTCATTGGCCGGGGACCAGATCCATTCTCGTCTGGTGTAAGCTCCAACAACAGTCCTCGGCAGCTCTCTTCTGGTCGATTCATCTGGGTCGACCTGGATAATCTTGGCGAATGGAGGACCGGTCGAATCTTGACGGCGCCTATTGTGCGTCCGCTGCCTGTGCCGGCATCCAGCGACATCGCCTACGTCATCTTCACCAGCGGCTCAACGGGCAAGCCAAAAGGTGTTCTTGTCCCTCACCGAGCCATGGTTTCTTCCATTTCGAGCTTCGCCCGTCGTGCCGCGCACCTGCCTACAGGTCCACGACTGCGCTGGTTTGTCATGAACCTCCCCAGCTTCGACGCCTATCAGCTCGACGTGCTTCACGTCATTCTCCGAGGCGGCACGCTTTGTCTGGCAGAAAGGAGTCTTGTGCTGACGGATGTCGAGCGCGCCATCAATAGACTGCGTGCGACTGCGACGACGACCGTGTCCAGCCTGGCCGTCATCCTGCGGCCCGAGAAGCTTCCTACCTTGCAAACCATTGTCGCCGGCGGCGAGATGCTGCATCAGCAGGTCGTTGATAACTTTGGTCAGACGTCTGTCGTTGGCAAAGAGGAACGCCGGCAACCGGCTCGTCATCTCATCAACGGCTACGGCCCGACAGAGACTGCTATTGTAGTTGCCACTGAACTCATGTCTGTTACTACTCGCGGGAGCATTATCGGAGAGGCGCTGCCGACGTCCATTCTCGTCATCATTGACCCGGTACCTGACGTTGTACGCGAAGTGCCCGCCGGTGTGCCCGGAGAACTTGCCATTGGCGGTCCGCAGCTCAGTCATGGTTATCTCAACCGACCTGTGGAAACGTCACAGGCTTTCGTCACGCATACGACGCTCGGCCGTCTGTATCGCACAGGCGACAAGGCACGCGTGGTATGGGCCAGTGACGGTCAGCGCAAGATTGAGATTCTCGGTCGTCTCGCGCTTGAGCAGGTCAAGATCAATGGCCGGCGCATGGAGCTCGGCGAGGTAGAATCGTGTTTGCTCGGTGTGGGTCACGTGCGCGAGGCAGCTGTCGTGCCCGTGCAAAATTTCATGTTGGCTGCGTTTCTGGTACTTCGCAACGGCGAGGGTGTTGCCGAGGACACGGTCAAGGCCGCGTGTCATCGCCAAGCCAGCGAGCATCTCGCGCCATGGATGCGTCCGTCGAGCTACCACGTTGTACCCAGCTTGCCGCGAACTCCAAACGACAAGATTGACCGGAGAGAGCTGAAGCGTTCCATGGAAGAGCGCAGCGCGGCACAGGACGCACAGCCAGCATTGGAACACGCTGCTCAGTACAATGATACTGTCAACGGAATCAAAAGACTGAGTGTCGAGACACAATTCCGCGAAGTCGCCAATGTCAATGGCGACAAGCAACATGCTCACACCGGTCTGACCCTGACGCCAGCCACCAGGTCGGTGACGCAAGCAAATTCTTCACCATCTGCGACTATTGGCTCACCCCCCGCAAAACAGAGCGAAAGCCCAGTTGTTCTAGTCTACAGAGGACTTGCTGCTGCGATAGGAGACAACGTGCGCAGCCATCCGCGAGAGACACCCACGTCTAGCATTGGCTTGGACAGCATACGCGCCATGACGCTTCTCCGCGCATTGAGGGCAGAGGGCGTCACGGGTCTGACAATCATGGATGTCTTGTCGGCGACGCATATTCAAGATATCATAGCCAAAGTCGAGAGCGTCACCGCCAAAGGTGCACCTGATGGCGCGTCGGGATCAGAGCAAGACAAGGATACCACTCGCAAAACACCCAACGGTTTTTCAAATTCGGGACAACAGAGAGCTCCCAATGACTCGACAACACACCAAGCCAGTGTCCATGATGAAGAAGACGACGGATCTGATTCAGGACAGAGATCTTTCGAAATCATAGCCCCAGATGAGATTGATCCTGATCCACTCCGCACAGAACAACTGAAATCTATCCCTATAGACGATGAAGACGCCATCTATGAGCTGGATGCAGAGGCCAAAGTCTGGCACTACGACTACCACTGTCGCAGCCAGTGCGCGAAAGACCTCAATTTGAAGGAAGAGGAAATTGAGCAGGTCCTTCCCGCAACGGGCATACAAATGCGCCTGCTATACCTGGCCACTGATCCCTCCTTCAATGACCCGCAACGCTACCAGGGCAAGGCGCAAGTTGACCACGTACTATACCTGGTTCCTCTGGGAATGGAAGCCAACCGTCTGCGGCGCGCCATTGAGACGGTGGTCCGCCGTCATGACATCTTTCGCACCGTTTTCACGCCTACAAAGCACCCGCTAGCCGAGTACGCTCAGGTCGTTTTGTCCCGCGACGCGCCGCGCGCCGCACTACAGACGCGGAGCATGTACGTGGATGACGGGGGCACCGAGCATGTGGCCAACAGCGATGCCTGGAAGAAGGCACTGACTCAGACGCAAGAGGATGCTGAGCAATCGATGGGACTGGATACGCCATCCATTCGCATGGCGTATGTGCAGTCGCTCGACGAGCAGCGCTGCGTCATTGTCTTATCGCTCATGCATACCATCTATGACGGCGTTGCGTTTCGACTCTTTCGCGCCGCCGTGGCCGCCGAGTACGACGGCACGCCGCTCGGCATGGAGCTTCTCCCTTTCAAAGCGGCTGTTGAGGACCACTTGGCAGCCGACTGGTTTGAAACTATCCTATTCCTCATGTCGCGGTATGCCAATGTGCCCGTCTTTCGCACGGGAAATCTTCGCCCGCGCACAACCCAGACGCGCGAATACAAAGAGCTGCACTATCAGCTGTATCCGTCCAACTCACACATGCGCCGCTTCTCCATTCGCGCACGCATCACGCTGAATGAACTCATGGGCCGAAAGCACTCAGGGCTGCCCATGTCGGGCCAGGCAGTCGTGCAGGCGGCCTGGGCCAAGATGCTCAGCCAGACCATCCCTACAGGCGGTACCCGTCTAGACAACCATGGCGCTACGCCGACATTCGTCGAGTTTACCACGGCCTTCCATGGACGCTACAGTGAAGCTGCCCGGCGGACCATGGGGCCGTTGCTCACTGGCCTTCCGATCATGATACCGATTTCTGCTATTCGAGCGGACAACAAGACAAACCGGGAGGTCTGCAGCCTTCTCTCTATGCAGAATCAGCAACTACTCAGCCACATGGCCATGCCATGCCCCAACATGGAAATGGCGCAAGTGGGCATGGACAGAGCTGACACGGGCCTGGTGCTGCAGATCCACGATCTGGAGCAAGATGAAGCCCCCGACGCGAGATCCCGGCTCCCAGACTTGCCTCTTTTCCACCACGACTCAAACGTTTTGCACCCGTATAAGCCTCTCGATTCGGGCTTTGTGATCATGGCCGAGGTCTGGCCGGGCGTGGGCGGGCCGGACGACAACTTGACGCTCATCTGCAGCTACAACAGCCAGCGCCCGGGCTACGAGTTTTTGTCGCGCTCTTGGGTGCTCAGCGCCTTGGTCAGCTTTGACGAGGCAATGACTGATATTCTCGAAAACCCGGAAGCTTCGTTTTGCGGGAACCCGGTCGCGGTGAATGGCCAAAAATGAGACTTTGTTGCATTCCCGCTGTCAAGAGGCGGTTCACTTTACTAGAGGAGACAACTACTGTAATAAACAAGAATAAATTGGATACTAGTAGACTACGCTTTCTTTGCGTACAGTCACTATTGCCATGGAAAGAAAGAAACAATTACATGACAGCATATCGTCACCTTACTAGGTGTATCGTTGTGCTGCGTTCAAAGTATCCCGCTGGACAGGGAGTTTCCTTTCGATATCGCTTCACTCGACGCCAGGATGGTCGTTTAAAGAGGCCGCAACCATGTTACTAAAAAAAGTAATACAAGGCTACATCCGATTCGGGTAATGACGTCTGTGCGGCCCTCTGGCAACGCTGTACGCGAGGCTGCCGCCAGCCGACACGCAAGTTGCGACTTGATAAGCCTTCGAAAGAGCTCTTTTGTCAAAGCATCAGTTCAGCCTCACCGTCTCAGGTGCACCAAAACTAACTATTCGTAAACAAACTAAATTAGAATCTTACCCCATGTGCAGGGTGTCTTCGTACGGGAAAAAAAAAACTTTGCGGCTGCTGTACCATGTGCCGTCCGAGCTCCAGTCGCCCTGAAACAGGATTACTGGTCCCGGACTGAGCCGGCCAGGCAGCGAACCGCTCCATACAGATATTTAGTTGAGCGGCTATACATCTCGCCGTATGCCGTCATGACTAGAGAGAGTCAGTCAAAAACACAAAAAAAAAACATCGCCATGGTGACAAAGTGCCAAGTCATCATTGTCGGCGCCGGTCCAGCTGGATTGTGCCTCGGATTGGCACTGGCCAAGTTCAACATCCAGGTAAGTGTGCGCGCACAACCAAACAAACACACGAGGCCCATCCCGACTCATCCGTCTGCAGTCCATCATCTTGGAAAAGGAAACCGAAATCACGGCAGATCCTAGAGGAGTCTACCTCACAGGCGATGCCGTCCGCATCCTCTACGATTTGGGCGTAGGCGACGAGCTCGAGTACGTCGGCCACCCAGCGGAAAATGTGCAAATGCACCGCAGCACATATGGCGCACCGTCGTACCTGACGCTGCGGCCCGGCACGACCAACGCGCTCGAGCAAGCGGTGCCAGAAGGGCTGCAGCAGATGCAGCCTCGTCTGGAGACGGCGCTACGCAAGAGAATCCATGCCACATCGTGCTGCCGTCTGTGGACGGGCTGCACCGTCACGGCGCGAGTCAGCGAGGAGCCGCCGCGCATTCAGTTTCGCGACGCGTCGGATGAGGTGCAGGAAGTCGAGGGCCAGTGGCTGATTGGCGCGGACGGCAAGGCAGGCGTGGTGAGGAAGCAGTTCCTGGAGCCCACGAGCGGCATCAAGCAGCAAGCCGGCCTTCACTTTTACGACGGTATCAGTATCGCGTCCAACCTGTACATTTCCCTGCCCACGCCGCAGTCGCATCCCAAGTTTGAGCTATGGGCACTGGGATACACGTCGGAGCAAGTGTACGACTTGTTTTGGCCCAAGGGATGGCACTTTTGCTGCCCGCCCGGCATGCCGACAGCTGGCGGGCGGTTCGGCCCGCACAGCGAGCGGCTGTGGCGGCACGAGTTTCGACTCGACAAGGAGGTCAGCGAACAAGAGTCCGAGGCGGCCTTGTGGGAGCACATTCTCCCCATGGTCACTTTGCAGGGCGATCGACACCGCCAAGTGCAATTCCGAGCGCCTGTGCAGTACCCGCGAGACTGCATCCAGGTCTTGCGCTGCCGGCCGTATCGGTTCACGCATCGAGTTGTGAATCGCTGGTTCGACAAGCGCACCATCCTCATTGGCGACGCAGCCCACGTCTTTCCTCCGTTTGCGGGCCAGGGCATTGCCAGCGGCCTCCGCGACGCCCATCAGCTGGCGTGGCGACTTGCCGTCGTCTTGGAGCGGTTTCCGCCGGACCAGCCCATGCCGAGTTGGGCGCAGGCGTTGCTGGAAGCGTGGGCGCGCGAGAGGCGAAGCAGCGTGGACACGACAGCGTACCTGTCCATCTCCCTCGGCCGCATGTCGTCGGCGCCACCCAACATACTTGAGCGACTCGGCTTCAGAATCAAGCACTGCATGGACCGCTCCCCGGAGCTCGCCAACGGCATTGATCCGCTGGTCAAGGTCGAGCGACAGGGCTTCACCAAGGTGCGAGACGGCTGCTTCGTCAAAAAGTACCGCGGTGGTGTGCGAATGGCCCAGATCCATGTAACGGATGGTCTCACGGGCAAAGCCCTGCTGTCGGACCGCCTGCTCGCCGGGTCGAGCGCCATGACGCTGCTCGTCATCTGCGATGCCAAGGAGAGCGGGCAGAGCGTGTCCCAGGCGAAGCGTGCCGTCAAGAATGCCCATCTCCCTGCCGGCGTCTTGGACGAAGATGCCATCATCGTGTATGATCCGCATGCGCAAGATGATGTGCAACATCATGCAGCCGAAGCCTCCAAGGAAAAGTCCCCAGAGACGGTTGCGTTGTACAGACCGCGCCTATTTGACGCGACGTCGCCAGAGTACAGACGCTGTGGCGGGTACGACGCCGAGGCGTACATGAGACGCGTGGGTAAGAAGTCCAGATTCGTCATTGTAAGGTCAGACTTTTTTGTGTTTGCGTGCTTGAAGAACGAGCATGACTTGGCGACGTGTTTGGGTATTCTCGCCAGCAAAGTAGGGGGAGGCCAGGTCTAAATAGTAGCGTTGCTTGTCGATGACTAATCTTGTATTCTACAAAGGTGTTTTCAGGTTGGTCAAGCGACTACTGTATTTGGTACTAGATAATTTACGTTCTAATAACTTATTCTTCCAAGGAAAAAGAAACAATGCAAGAAGGAAGCTATAGACTCAGTGTTTTCAACGGGCAGTACAGGCAGTACAGGCAGTACAGGCAGTACAGGCAGTACAGGCAGTACAGGCAGTACAGGCAGTACAGACAGTACAGACAGTACAGACAGTACAGACAGTACAGACAGTACAGACAGTACAGACAGTACAGACAGTACAGACAGTACAGACAGTACAGACAGGGGTTACACTTTAGTACAGACAGTACAGACAGGGGTTACACTTTAGTTCACTTGGCGGGCACTCAAGATCCAAATTAGGAAACGAATCAGGCCAAATTATTTTACCTCGCTGGGAACGAGAATGGCTTTTTGAGGGCAGAAAGGCTAGGCTAGGGATCGCAGACAATTCTGATGGATTTTTTTTATTATAGCAACGTAGTGTGAAGAGACTCGCGTGGTAATGTTTCGGGATGCAAACGACATGGACAGTGGCGTGCAGCTGAAATTATGCAGCTGCAATTCAAGATATGGCGGCCTCTCTGACAGGATTTACTGCAGTTTGACGTGTACATCCGCGTAAGCTTTGTACAAGGTATAATGTCTCCAGGCAACTAATTCCCAGGAACATTATATAGGGAATTGGTGGTGATTTTGCTCTGAATTACCTTGACCCACTGTACCTCCTCCGTACAGCCCTGTTTCTCGCCATCTTGGAATGAATGGGCTGGATAAATACAGGCGCAAGAGGCGCTATTAATAACGGGCATGACAGGCACCTGCAGGATATCGATATCGAGTTAGGACGCTAATAAATGTAACAGCAATTAATATAAAAGCATATGCTGAAGAAATTTAGTGATTTAGAGTATCTTGAGAACATATTAAGTGCTACGGATTAGAGGGGTACTTATCATAGATGTGTTCTTGTAGCTGGCAGTCCGAACAGGTACTTGTTTACTACTTGACACAATACATGAATGAATACTTGATAACCCAACTTGCCAGTACTTTCCAAGAATCTTGAGACAAACCACAGGAGAGTCTGAGGAGACTCGCAAACTGAAAAGGTAGTAAATTGATCAGGGGTGCTGGGTGCATCCACAAATCATGCCGCCTGAAAATGGAACTCGGGACGGCGACATGGAGTCCACATTCCACATAACACATTTCCAAGTTCCTACAATCACGCCGCCGCCGGTTCTATATGCTATTATTGCTAATAAATAAGTAGCAGCCAATGGTCCGCCGCCAGCCAACTACCGGTCTGCGCCACCAGTTTCTTCATGGAGCGAGGGGTCCTGCAAGGTTCTCCGTATGCTGAACGAGGACCAATTGTTGCTTCGAGATGCGGCCCCTGACACCTAGTCGACACCGTCATCGTGTAATAGCAATGCATAGCCCCTCACGGCCACGCCGAGCACCAACAAGTTGAGAGGTCGGTCCTGTGGTTCTTCCTATCCACATCACGGCTGGCTGCCACTACAAGCAGTACAAGGTAGTTGAGGCTGCTGAGCTGAGCATATGCGCTCGCTGCCTTTTCTTTATTGCCATTCAGATATACTTATTAGTATACGTACAAAGTTCTGCTCTCTCCCACCTCGCCGCTGTTACCGAGTACCAAGTAGTTTAGTTACTTTTAGTTGGCTTTGTGACTTGTTGGCGTCCCTTGGCGCCCACCCTGTTTCACCCTTGACACCTTTTCCATCTCTGCTTGTCCCCTCGAAAGCCCCGCGAGGCCCATGTGCGTATCATGCATCCAAGTATTCTCCGCCACTGTTCTTCTGGAATCCGTCTCATCCATTCATCCCCTCCGCTGTGGTCTGAAGCCGTTCATGCTTGGCGCGTCGTCGTGGTGCATGTTCCTTGGTCTTGCATTATTTACGAATTTCTTATATTATTACTCCAGTCCGCTGCTCCCTGTCCTGCTGGACTCTCTTGTATGCTCTCTGCCTCGCATCCAAGCCAGTTAATTGGCTCGTCGTCACTCGCTTCATACTCACATGCCCCGCGTGCACTCTGTTATTACAACTGATTTCGTTTTGCAATATTTCATCTCCTTCTAAACTTGCCAGCGCCCAGAGTATTACTCATCTACCACTATCGGAGCAAGATTCCAGACATCTTGCTACGACAAGTAAAAGACATGTCTCGCATTTAGCCGTGTCCCGTTATCCCATTCCAACACATTCACGCACCGTCCGGCGTCAACCCGGACCGCGTTCACGGTCGAGGGAAAAAAAAACATCGTCTCGAGCATTTCATATATACTGGACGACCGCGCGCATTTCTGCCCGCGACTCCAAGGTAGCATGCCTTGGAAATCTTCTTCATCTCCTGCGGCTGCCTCTTTAAAGTCAATGGGGAAGTCTAAACCCGCTGCCAAGCCCATCCGTGGGCACATATCTTCACCTATACCTGTTGCGGACTCTTACAGTCATCTTTCAGAGCCCACGCAGATGCACAAGCTTCCCCAGCAAGCAGCCCAGCACGACAGCAACATCAGACCTAGACAGGCCCAGGGTTTCGATCAGAACCACATCACCAACGCCGCAGGCAATTCTACACCTTCATCGCGGGTACCATCTGGAGCCCCAAAGGTGACAATCGATGAAACCGCCGCGCGCAATCCTACACCCGAGGCCGGCAGACGTCTTTCAAAAACACAGAAAAAAGATACTCCAGTCCGTAAAAGATCGCCGATTCGCAATGTCATAGGTCGTCTATTCGGCAGACGGAAGAAGACGCCGAGCCAACTGACAAGGACACCAGAGCCTGCCCAGCGCTCTAGTGCTCCTCCACAGACTACGGTAAGTATTTACGCACTTGCTGCGACTTGGACGGTCGAGAGCTTCAAATTTTAACCCGAACCTAGGCAAAAAATGCAGAAGACGGTCCGTCACGAGGTTCTGGGGCCAGTCGATCGGTTTCTCTGCCCATTACCGAATTTGACCGAGCTCTTCGTTCCCACTCCATCGGCCTCGATGATGTCATCGCCATCAGAAGCGCACGAAACTCTCTGGTGGTCGCAGATCAAATCCAGCCCAAGAAACGAAGCGCCGGCAGCGGCGGCGGCGGCGGCGGCAGCGGCAAGAATAGCCCTTATAATTTTGGAGCTCGCTACATTGGCGACGGGAAGTTGGCCGGGCTCTGCCCACGCCCGGCAAGTGTCAATGACAGGGATCTTGGCCGCAGCTCAGCAATCCTGGCGGATGATGACCCCGACGAAATTGGTCGCGCCATCACCGGTGACGCCGGTCGGCTGAAGCGTCGCTCACGGAGCATGTCGGCCATCCCCCGCTTCGAGGTTAAACCGGAGGAGCAGCAGCAGCACCGCCGCCACCGCCGTCGAAGCCAGGAAGTGAGAGAACTGCGAGATAGCTGTGTCTACGGTCAAGACCCGCTTTCGCCATTATCTTCCGAGTTCCCCGAGGACGACGCTTTGGCTGCTTTTGACCTGGACCTGCCGAATCCACCACGCCCAGCTGCCCCCGAGCCGCCGACGACAACGACGGCGGCGGCGCCAGGGCCTTTTATGTTTGGCAGTCTCATTTCGGAAGAGGAGGCCGCCAACAGGCAGCAGGTCGACGAGGTTACGCTGAGCTCTCGCGTCAACGGCATCGAGAATAGGCTGCACGTTGTCGAGGATTCTGTATCTCTGCTCAGGTACAAGGCCAACCCGCACGCACACGTGGGCTGGACACCTAGCGATGCCGCCCTGCCAAGCGGACTCGTGGGCATTCAGACTTCATATTCGTACCCAAACACCCGACACCCTCACCATAGTCTGTCCATGGGGATAGCGCCCACGTCGACGCGGCCCTCGTCGAATCATTCAGAAGCCGTCTTCACAGAGTCCACCTCTTACAGCGACGGCGGAAACCACAGCAGCAGCCACAGTGCCTCACAGCAACAGCAGCAACATCTCTCAATGCCCGATGACGCCGCCGTCGTCGCCGCCGCCGCCCGTCCCAACTCTGAACAGACGCTACGCGGCCATCACCACCTTGCCCCGCAGCGCCATGCCTCTTCTCCCCTCAGCGACGAGCAGTACTCGTCGCTCCTCGGCCTCTTGGAGACGGAGCGCTCCGCGCGCATCGCGCTCGAGGCCCAGGTGCAGCAGCTCACGCGGCAGCTCAACATGCTCCTCCTCGCCAGACACGCGCGGCGCGGCGACCACCACAAAGCCTCCTCCGCCGCGCCGGCGCCCGTCTCCGTATTCGAGTACGACGCCGACGAGAGCGAGTCCTTTGTTGAAGGAGGCGGCAGCAAAGGCAGCAGCCCGCGCCGCAACATCTGGCACCCCCAGCAGCATGGGTACTCGCTCGACGACTCGGGCATAGACCCGGGCATAACGCGGCACGCCTCTACGAATCACGACTACAACGACGACGACGACGACGATGACGATGACGATGACGACGACGATGATGGTGTCGAGTCCTCATCGCAGCTGTACGCGACGCCCAGCGAGGAGACGCACACGGGGACGTTCAACGTGTATCCCGCCGCGGAACAGGATGGCGTTGCATCGCCGAGGACCATGTCGCTGTCGAGTATAACAATGAGTCCGATGCCGACGGCCGTAATGTAAATTGTATCTCTTCATTCACGATTGGGTTTTCAAGTTTTTTTTCTCGTTCTTTTTTCCCCCGTTTCTTTTTTTTTCCTTTTTCTTTTGCTTTCTTTTTTTTTTGTTCTGGCTACTTGGCTACGGCGGTACTTCATCATGTGTGATATGTCTGAGCATCTATGGAGTTTTGGAGCGCAATATTAATATTGATACCACGACCTGTCTTTTTAATGGTCTCTTTCTGGGTTTTTCATCAGGTTCATGAATGAAATGAGGTATAACCTCTAATTCTTTTCTATTTCGTCCGTGATCAAGGTCAATGATGGTGCATAACAATGTTTTAGGATGTTCTATTGACGCAACATGGTGCTTTACGCGTCTAGACCTTCTATAAATTATGAATGTGTTGGGCCCTCCCTGCAGCGCTTGGAACAATGGGTCTATCCAATGATAATAATATTCAAGCCAACTTCAATTCATCAAAGTTAGTT